GAATGCGAGCGCAATGGCGCGCGCGGTCGCGCGCGACCCGCCGCTGGCAATAAAGTGAATGCGCGGGCGTCGCGGCGACGACGGCGGCGACGGCGGCGACGGCGACGACGACGGCGGCGTTTGCGCCGACGGCGACGACGACGGCGGCAACGGCGACGGCGGCGACGGCGAACATCGCGGCGACGGCGGCGACCGGGCCCGGGCCCACGGGCGAACTTGCGCCCCGCCTTCGTTCCTCGAGCCCCGCGCCAGATTTTTATGGGGAAAACGAATTTGGCACGCGCAGCTTTACCCCAGCCGTCTTTCCGCTTTATTCAAGCTTTCTTTTTGCGTGAGCGAGATTTCTCTAGGAATGCATTGAGCAGCGCGCCTTAACTAAAGCCGCTTCCTCGCTTTACTACAGCCGCTGCCTCGCTTTAGTAAAGTGCGCGGTCTGCCTTCGTGAAGCCTTGTGGATGCGGTGGTGATGCGGGGCCAGGGCCCAGTCGGCCCTCTCCTCCCTGCCAGTTCACCCAACTATGCATTTGCTCGAGCAACCAGGGTCGCGTTGCATCGGTTCGCGTCGATCTTTGGACATGTCTTCAGCGAGTTGCAGGTGCTCCTTGACAGGAGATTCTGGGCGCGAGCGCAGGACGTGGCTTGGCAATTCGGACGCGCCGCGCGGTTGTCGCGCAACAGAGCAACAACACTTTATGAAAAGGCTTGTCTCCTTTGGCAAATAGATCTTTATCACAATTATAGCGCGACGCTTCTGCTTCCAAGAAAAAGCGCCCCCTTTGTCTTGCGCGCGTGGCGCTGTGCATTTCGCGTGCGCCGAAACACGCAAGGAGGAAATCGCGAAACCAAGGCAATTTTCCAGCAGGGATCGGGGCTGTTCCAAAATAGTGTTGGGGCTTTCCCACAATATTGTAAACGCTCCTGCATTAAACGCGAAACGATGTGTTTTTTATATGTTCTCATATGCAAATTCGTTTGTAAGAGGACATGCCCGACATAAGCCCAGTGGCGAATGACTTTAAGTGTGCAGGGGTTATGGACAACGTGTTCGCGACAACCCCGACCCCATTTGGCGTGCGAACCGTTTTTTCCATAGCGATGAGATTGAGCTGCCCCATCGGATCTTGGAAATTTTAGCGCTGCTTTCACGTTTGCGGGTATTGGTGGCCAGGATGTTTGTTGTACCCCCCCAGAGTCGCGGGCATCCCCGATACCCTGGTTGGATTTGGAAAACACGAAACGCCATGTACGGGCTCCATCAGCACCGCGGGAAGTATTGGATTGTTGGGCTGCGGCCCTCGTGAGACGATTTTTTGCATACGGTTTCTCAGTGATCCCCAGTTGTTTTGGGACAGGAGAGGCGTGTATTTAAGTGTGCACGCAGACGACGCCATACCAGTAGGTCCAGATGGTGTTGGTATGAGGTGTCTCGATACGCTAGGACATATTTTCTTTATGGTCGGGGACAACGCTTCAATGCACACCCGGCCGTAATATATTCTGGTCAGCGCTACCTGTTGGAGGCAAGCGCGATTGCCGTGATATCTATCAACGTAGCGTCATATACTATTGGAATGAAAAGGCGTTCGGTCGTTCCGGCACCCGGACAGAACACCCCAATGTTTGCGCAAAGGTCATTTGGAGAAACGCATGCAGATTACCACAAATACCGGTGCGTAGTGGGTGAGACGCGACGCATCCCCACACACGGGCCGGACATCAAATTTCTCCGGCATCCCAGCACCAGGCCCGACTTGGCAAGGCTACGCCCGCAAACCAGACATACGTGAAATCGCGGGCGGCCGTGGAAGAGAGAGTGGCCACACATCCAATTTCCGACGAAAGCACTCGCGAGAAAGCTGGCGGCGCCCACGAAAGAGGACATGAGGAAATTGAAACAACTCATGCGGTACACGCAGGGAATTACAGCAGAATGCCTTCACAAAGCTGCAGAAATCTGACTGTCCACATTGTTGTGCATGTGCACACTGATGGGGCCGGATGTAAAGCGACCCAGAAATCCACATTTGGTGGCTATGCGTCTTGGGGTCCGCGTTTCTTTGCGAGTTTTAGCGACGCGCGACCAGCAATTGCCCAGTGCCCCGGAAAAGCCGAACTGGGCGCCTTCGCCTCCGAAGTGGCGGGAAGATTGTTCGCCCGGGCGATCTTCGCCCATTTTGTCGTTGGAACGTCCTTGCGAGTGTGGAAACATGTGACTCGTCAGCAGGGGTTGCAATCGCCTCGCGCCCAGGACATGGCAAACTCAAGCATTTTAGTATCAAGTATTTGCGCGAGCGACAATCAGCACATTCAGTCCGCATTCGGTTAGAGAAGGTGTCGGGCGCCAACAACTGCGCAGACTTGATTGAGAACCACGTTATTCGACCATGCGAGTTTGCATGAACTTGGGGAAATGATTTGTGCGGGGCGAGAGCACCTGCTACATCAGTAACCAACGACTCCCATTATGCGAAAATCTGTCAATGCGCACCCGTGCCATTTCGGCCGAGATATTTACTTGTCTGTGCACAGCTATCGGCATGAGACTATCTCATCATATTGTTTTATAGCTTTCAGGCGGTGCCCGTCGCGCACAAACATTCGTGTAAGTCTCAAAAAGGCAGAGAGGAGAGAGGACCAAAAGGAAAGAAGGACCAGAACACCTGGACCGGGCGCTGTCACTCCGTGTGGCGCAGCACTTGACGTCAGAGATGCACAAGATGGATCGAAATCCAGCCGTGGCCCTAGCGGCGGAGCCCGCGTCGATTCAACGCATTTCGTCATTCGGCCGCCCATGCCAGAAATTCCAGCGGACCGCGCAAACAAGGAGGCGCCGCCACCGCCAACGCCGCCCACGCCCCATGCTTGGGGCAAGCGGGAATAGACGAAAGCAGGCAATCCAAAGGAATTTCGAGAGCGAGCCCGCTCCTAGTCCAGCTGTCGCAGTCGCGGTCGCTCGTCTTACCCTTTCGCCCACGGGGGACATTCTAGCGAGTTCGGCGCTGCGATTCGAGGAGATACGTTCGGAGGACGATGTCCTGCACGACGTCGTTTCTGATCCCCCGTGTTTGGAAACGTCGGCAAACGCGTGAAGACCCTCAGCGCCGCAAGCAATCGCATCGAGAGCATTGCTGCGCTGCGCGAGAAAAAAGTAGTCCCACCGAGACTCGGAGGGGCATGATGCGTATCCAACACCGCCCGCACACAATTGGATCGCAAGCTTTACACTGATGTGCGCCGTACAGAAATTATTCCGAGGGTGCGTAAAAGATCAAACGCTTGTCCCCATCTCTCGCGTCTCTCGTCTTGCTTCTCTCAGTGCGTCCATCCTGCTGCCAGTTCTGGTCAGGCTCTCATACACCTCCTCCTCCTCTTCCTCCTCCTCCTCTCTTGAGCTCGTCGCCGTTGCCCCTGTTTATGCCACTGGGTCTGTTGAGCGTGGCGCAGCACTGCTTGCGCAGGATGCCCGTCGTCCACTTCTCGGAATGTATCTAGCCCTTGCACCCCCAAGTCTGGCAGCTGGTGTAGGCTTTCCATGTCTTCGGCGCCATGGACCCGTGGTGGGCCATGGGCAGTTGCTTGCCTTCTCGACCGAGAGCAGCCCCTTGGCGTGTGAACGTTGCCTCCGCAGCTGTCTGTCCGCCGCAGGCGAGCGGGACCTGGTCCGCTCTGGCGCGGCTGTCGTGCGCGCCTGCAAGAGCGGGTGTCGGGTCGAGCTGCGCGTTGGGAATTGGCTTCTTTGAAACACAGCACGAGTTCAGGCGACAGCGTTATGTTGACAAGGAACTTCGGGGGTGGCCAGACCTCCTACCCTGACACGTCGATTAAGGAATTGGCCGTTATTGGTTCGCGAGAGGGCGTCGCGGCCGTCATTTTCGCGGGTCCAGGTCAGTCGGTTTCGGTCCCAAGCCGTTTCACTAAGGGGAGGTCTACTAAAGGGAGGTTTGTCCACCGCCGAGAATTGCCTCGCACGCTTTAGCGAATCAGATGGACCTCGAGAACGTATGGCCACACAGCTCAGCGATGTGTCCAGCGAGGTCCCCATCATGAAGGAGGGCCACCCCCAATGTGTGGAGTTGCTTCACAAGGCTCCACCTCCGGCCACGTGTTTCGAGGACGTTTGTCGCGAGAGGCCCAGTGTGAAAATGATCGCCCCCGATCAGTGTAGCCTCTACGCGTGCTAATCTGTAAATGAATATAGAGGGTGTCTCAAGCGAGTGTCCCGTCTTGTGAGCTTGCGCAGGGATTGCGCGCGGGGTCCAGGCGAGAGCCCCCTTTCGAAAAGAAGCATCCCTCCATCCCTCACGCCCTGCAATCTTCCAGAATGGGTTTGCGCGGCGCCATGGCGTGAGCCCGATTTTGGAAAGGAGCCGCCCTTTATCCTAGCAGTTGTTGCAAGCTTCCAGGATGAATGTGAACGGCGCTATGGCGATAGCCTTTTCAGAAAAGGAGCAGCCTTCCAGTTTCGTAACAGATGCACGTTTTCAAGACACATGTTTGCGGCGCAACGTCGAGAGCCACATGTTGTAAAGGAGCCGCCCTCCATCGTTGTAACAGTTGTAGGCTTTCAAGTTTGACGCGCGTTGCGCAACAGCGAAAGCCACATGTTGAACACCACATGTGGCCCATCGGTGTGATTGTTGCACGCTTTGAAGACGACCGTCCACTGCGCAGGCGGAAGCCACATGCTGCAAACTACTTGTGATTTATCCGTGTATGTAGTTGTTGCCAAATTCAAAATTCAGTGTGATTCGTGGTGAGGAAGTCTCAGGCGAAACGCCCAGCCCGCCTTACGAAGACGTCTGGGGGTGCGACAGGAAGGAGCTATTCGTAACATGAAGGGGTGGATGTAGATGGGGAGCAGGAAATGGGGGGATGATGAGCAGGAGAAAGTGGATGAGGAGCAGGAGGAGATGGAGAGGATGCTGGAGGTGGAACAGGAGGTGCTGCAGGGGCGGGAAGAGGAGGAGGACGAGGAACACCGTTGGCATGAACAGCCAGAGGCCCCAAGCCAATGCTACTAGTGAAGAACGCCATGCCGATCACCCTGAACACGAAAAGCGGCCAGGGAGGGCGGCAGGACCCGATGATTGAAGGACGGGGAGACGTGCAACGCAGCAGCCGCAACGACCCAGAGAGTGGGATGATGATGATGATGATGATGATGAGGAGGAGGAGGAGGAGGAGGAGGAGGAGGAGGAGGAGGAGGAGGAGGAGGAGGAGGAGGAGGAGGGAGGAGGAGGGAGGAGGAGGAGAGGAGGAGGAGGAGGAGGAGGAGGAGGAGGAGGAGGAGGAGGAGGAGGAGGAGGAGGAGGAGGAGGGAGGAGCAGCAGCAGCAGCAGGAGCAGCAGAGCAGCAGGCGCTGGCGGAGGAAGCGCAGCAGGGGCCGAGGCGGAGCGGGCACCGCAGCCGGCAGCACCCCCTCCTCCTCCTCCCTCCTCCTCCCTCCTTCCCTCCTCCCTCCTCCTCCTCCTCCCCCTCCCCCTCCCCCCCCCCCTCCTCCTCCTCCTCCTCCTCCTCCTCCTCCCCTCCTCCTCCTCCTCCTCCTCTTCATCCTCCTCCTCCTCCTCCTCCTCCTCCTCCCGCCGCCGCCCCCAGGTCTGGGCCGGGGCGGCCCGCGGCAGGAAGGACCCGACTACACGCAAGAGTGACCTTTCGCCGGAGTGACCTCTGGTCCCAGACCCCCTCTGGCAATGAAAAAATCATGACGGGAGGTTTTCCTTAATTTTCGGCCTCCGGGGGCCCTCACCGGGCCTCGGGAGCGTCAAAAAACGACTCAGGATGCAAAGCCGGTCCTGGGGAAAGGGTCGGGACGCCTTGGGTCGACGTAATGAAAAAATCATTACGTCGGGGGACTGGGGCCGGGGTGACCTTTGGTGCGGGCCCCATGGGGTCCCCCGATGGCCGAGCGCCATGCGGCAGTGTAGCGTCTTGCGCGCCGGTGTTTGGCACCCCCGCGGCCCCCAGAAAGCCGCGCACCAAGGGTCACTCTTGACCCAGGGTCACTCTTGCGCGCAGCCGAAAGGACGTGGTGCTGCTGACCCTCGGCACCGGGGTCGGCGCCGGGGTCATGTGCGGGGGCCGGCTGCTGCGCGGCGCCCGGGGCGAGGCGGCGGGGCGCCGGGGCGCGGCACGCGCGGGCAGCGCAGCGGCCCCCAGTCGCCCAGGGAGTCGAGCAGCGGCCCTGGCATCGCTTGGACGTGTGCATTTTTTCTCGGCGAGAACCATCGAGGACCATCCTCGACCAAAGAGCAAACAAAAACATGCACGAAACCGAAAGAAACACAAAAAATGGACGTCCGAGCGATGGCGAGCGGCGGAGCGTCCTGGCCCAGGGAAGGAATTTCTGAGAGCCTTTTGTTCTGCACGCCCGAGATGGGTACTGAAAGAATGGGTACACTGCCTCACAGCAGTTCCTATTCATTTTGAACAGGGCTCGCTGGCCGCGCCGCCGCGGCCTGGGTCCATTTGAGACAGAAGGCCGCCTGTCCAACAGCGCCCGCTGTTGGTTCGGGGCAACATTTGCTGTTGGGCATTGTGCCCATTGTTTCCGTGCCCGTGTCGGGCATCCAAATTTGTGGTCTGCACGACGTGTATTTCGAACATCTCTGGTTGAGACCGTTTTGTCTTGACACATCGGGCTTGTGTTCTAAAAGCAACGTCTTTTGTTCTCAGAAAAGGTTGGAGTTCTAAGATTTCGTGGCTTAGGCCTAATGGACTGCTGGGACGGCCGGTCCCTCATCAACTTTGATCGCTGAGAAAGTGGGGAGGGAGGGCGGAGGGGGGCGAGGGGGGGCCAGGAACGGGACAGGGATGGAGGGGGGGGGCGTGGGCCGAGGGCAGAGGAGGTCAGGGGCCACGTTGGGGGGGAAGAGGCCCTGGGGAGGACGCAGATCGACCCCCGATCGCGCGCTGCTCGCCGAGATGAGGCCCGATAGAGCAACCCCGCCCAGCACCGCGCGGATTCTCCCGTCGGGGGACTTTCGCTGAAGTCGGGCTTATCCTTCTACAGGGGGGATATTCAAAAATAGTAAAAAATAGTCTGGAGACGATTTGTTGGTTATTTTTGATTATCTTTGGAATATTGTTTGGGTATCTTTAATTCTTCGTCCAAAAACTCCCCTGTAGGGGGACGGGCCCGACCTAAGCTTTCGCCGATCCATCGGTGATGTATCGTCGATTCCAGGTCAGGGTTCCCCCCCCCCTCCTGAGCCGGTCCCGCCCTACAGTCGAGTTTGATTAGTAGGTCGACCCTGCCCAAATAAGGGTACCCTTGTGTCCTGTGTTTCGCGACCCATGCCCTCTACGCTCCACCGGCAATGTGGCCATCGGAAGGGTCTTGTGTCCTCTCGCGTGCCCTCTCCAATCCACCCCGACTGTAACGCTGCCCCTCCTCGTCGCGTCCTGCTTCCCCCGGGCTGCTCTCGAGATGCCCCAGGGGGCCCGCGCGCGCAGGGAAGAGTTGGCGCCGGCCAGCGGCCGGCGCGCGGCAGAGCCTCGGCATCGCTCGGACGTGTGCCTTTTTCCTTCGGCGAGGGCCATCGAGGAGCATCCTTGATCATGTGGCGAAAACACCACGCACGAAACCGATAAAACCTCAGGAAATGGACGTCCGAGCGCTGGCCAGAGAGAGCGCCGTCGTGGTCGTCGCCTTCGAGGGTCTCGCGCGAGGATCGAGGGCCGAGGTTTTTGTGCTGGCGTCGTCGGCGCTTCTGGGGGTCGAGGCGCCAGAGCTGGAGGGGCGCGCCCTCCCCAGCCGCGTCGTCCACCCTCCTCACTGGTTCGAAGATGGGGTCCATGAGGGACGGGGTCCCAAGGATCCTACAACCCTCGTCAAGATGAACCTCAAACATGTCTTGCGTGGCTGAACTGTCTGTGGGGAGATACTGGACAGAGTAGCGATGACTGCGAGGTACGTGTATGCGCCGCCCCTCCAATGTCGATCATCATCGAACTTCCGAGTCGTTCCCGGTCAGACCATTTTTGCTCTGGCCCCGACATAGGAGGGGTGTTTATCGACATTGAAGGCGCGCCGACATCGCAGGGGCGTGGTCGCCATTTTTGATGTTAATTTTGACGAGGGTAGTAGCAGTAGTAGTAGTAGTAGTAGTAGTAGTAGTAGTAGCAGTAGCAGTAGCAGTAGTAGTAGTAGTAGTAGTAGTAGTAGTAGTAGTAGTAGTAGTAGTAGTAGTAGTAGTAATAGTAGTAGTAGTAGTAGTAGTAGTAGTAGTAGTAGTAGTAGTAGTAGTAGTTGGAGTTGGAGTTGTAGTTGTAGTTGTAGTTGTAGTTGTAGTTGTAGTTGTAGTTGTAGTTGTAGTTGTAGTTGTAGTTGTAGTAGTAGTTGTTGTAGTAGTAGTAGTAGTAGGAGGAGGAGGAAGGGATCCGAGGGTGCATGTGCATTGTTTGAGGCAGCTTGTCCTGAAGGGCCCCATCCCTCAGGACCCCATCTTTGAACCAGCGGCCCCCTGCTCCCAACGACGACGAAGACCTCCCCCACTCCTCCTCGCCGACCCTGCGGGCCTACACCGGCGGCGCGCGCAGGAGGAAGGCTGAGGGACCGGGCCTCCTCAGACGGCTCAGGAGGCCGGCGGCCTTCTGAGGAGTTATCTAAGTTTTCTTCGAGGCCACCGAGGGCTTCTCAGAAAGCCGGAGGGCTCCTGAGAAGCCCCGCCGCCGTGTGAGCAGACCTGCCCCACATCTCTTCCCCCCCCCACCTCGACACGCCGCCGAGGACGGTTCCTGGCGAGGTGGGGGGATGGGCCAGCATTCCGCGCGGCGAAGGGCGGCCGCGCTTCCTCTTCTGAGTCGGTGGTCCCTTCGCTTCCTCGGCGGAAGCTCCTTTTCCCCATCCAGTCCCCCCCCTCGTCCTGCTCCTATCTCCTCCCTTCTCGTCTGCTTCGTCATCATATTATTCAAGAGGCTTACGCCATTCCGCGCCGACCCCAGACGAGGGATGAACTCCATGGGTGAGGCCCTTTTGGGCCTCTCGGGGGCCCTTTGGGGCACCCTTTGGAAGCTGTTTCGGGCCTCTTCAGAGTTTCTTGGGCGCCTGCTGGCGGTCTCGGGGGTCCTCGTGGGGCGGAGGGCTCGGAATGTCAGTTCGAGTGACCTCTCTTGGGGCCCTGTTGGGGCTTTCTTGGGCCATCTTGGGCGCCTCTTGGGTCGTCTTGGGACCCTCTCCGGCAGTCTTGGGGCCCTCTTAGGGGTTTTCGTGGGCCGTATTGGAACGGTATTTGGGGCTTCTTGAGCGCCGTCTTGGACGTTGTTAAGACCAAAAATGCGAGCATGCTCAAAATAGAAGGTTCCCCGAAAGATTAGGGCGATTTTTGTTTCTTGAGGCCTCTCGGGGGTCGTCTTGGAGCCTCTTGGGGCGATTTTGAGGCCTCTTGGGCAGTGTTGAGGTCATCTTGGTCGTCTTTGAGGACCCCTTGACGTGTTTGAGCCCACTTTGAGCCAGCTCAGACGGCATCCTTGGCGGCGCCCCGGAGGCCACGGCGTGCAGAATTTGGAGGCTCTGGAGGCCCCCCGCTCGTCCCCCCCGCCCCCCCCGGGCTGCCCCCCTGGGCGCCCCCTCCGCCCCGGCTTGTGATGGTCCAACCTACTTTAGCCTTGATCACCAGAAGTAATTTCGAGCAGCAGAAAGTACCGAAACTCTAGGGTATTCACGCGTTGGGCCATGGGAGACACTCCTCCGACACTGTTTCGACACTCGTTCGACACTTTTCTGGGTGCTCGAAATCATCTCTGGGATGTGGTCCTTGAGTTCGATGGGAGCCACAGAAGCCCCGGCCCCCCGTCGTGGGGGAAGGGGAGGGACAGCCCGGCGGGCGGGGGTCGGCGGATGCTTCCTCTTCCCCTTCCTCTCCGGAGAACTTCCTCCGGCGACGTGCGCTCGTCCCCCTCTTCCCTCCTCGCCCTCCTCGCCCTCGTCGCTGTCCTCGCCGTCGTCCCCGACCTCCGCCTCCGCCCCCCTTCTTCTGGCGGGCCGCGAGCCGGGGCCTGCCCGGCGCTCGGCGGCCGCGAG